ACAATTCTATGATTCTATGATTCTAAGCTGAACTGATTGGCATTTTAATCCAGCCCTCCTGAGGAACACCTCTTTTATATCAATCCATAGGTCATGGTGCTGATACATCCTACTTTTCTGAAACAAGTGTGTGGAGTCAGTCTCATAGGATCATTTAAAATAAAGAGCAGGACTCGTTTGATTTTCCTCTGACCAAGTTATATGGCTTCTTTGTCGTTCCCACCCCCTTCTAAATTGTGCTACAAAAAAAGAGAAACGAATTCTTGACTTTATTTGGCTGGAGAAAATCCTTGTGAGGGAGGGAAGTTTTAAATGTTTCTCATGATGGATTGCTATGGAGGGAGCTGGTACAATGCCATCTTTGCTTAGGCCACCAGGGATTTTTTTTGCTATCCTGCTGTTGTATTTATGACGCTGTGTAACTCCTCCAGCTTTAGGAAATCCATGGCTGAGGCTGTGAGATGATGTGGCACCCCCTGCTCGATTGACGCACATGGGAAGCTTTTAATATCGAGTCAAAAGGTGATTTAGGTTCTCACTTGCAGAGACCACAGATGCTCAAGCCAAGAATTCACTTGGTGATGATTCTGGAGTGAGGAGGGAAGGGGGAATTTCAATGTGCAGGAGTCCGTGTGTTCCCGTTATTGGGGGGGTGATTTTAAAAAAAGCAGCTACTGACTAGCTTTAACTTCACTCCTATGAAATCAAAGGAGCCCAGTTACGAGGCCAGTGCAAACTGAATTAAGACTAACCACGTCAAAAATACCACCCTTAAAGCTCATGCATTTTTCCCCCTTTTTTGTGTAGAGACTGTCCCCAGACTAGAGCAGTATTGCTGAGACGTGGAGGGAAGACAAGTGTCTCTTTCACACACGTCCTCGCCTGCAGGCAAGATTCTCATTTTTGTCTCTGTGTAGAGACAGGAGGATGTCTGGAGTTTTCCTGTCCACATAAATCTAAGGCCATGTCCCAGAGGTTAACTGATTCAGTCGTGGCTGGGCCCTCAAACACGATCTCTGAGCAAGGCTCAGCACAGAGCTATCGCACCGTCATTCTGCACAGCGCAGCACGGGTGGGATGCGCAGCCCTGCCGGAGCAGTAGGAGAGGGGCTCTGCCAGGGTGCTGGGGGCACGAGAGCAGAGCAGTGCTCAGACAAGCTCTTCCAGCCTTGGAGAGCTTAGGCGAGGGACCGGATCTCATCCCAATGATGGCTTGCTGGCTGCAGCCAACGTGCAAAATCCATCAGGTTTTTTTGGAAGTGGTCAGCACCTGTATCAGTCCCAGTAGAAACAAAATGCTGGATTGCAGCCAGGCAAACCAGGACCAGATGGCTGGAACGAGATGAGTACGTGCAGTTCTGTTCCTTTGTGCTGCAGCCCTTGCGTTGACAAGCAGTTCAGAAGGGCTGGAAAAACCTGCGCAGGAAGGGCACTCCTGCCCCATGCCAGGCTGAGCACTGCCATGAGCCGTGGGTTTTCCATGTTGTTTTCGAGTCACAACTCACATGCATGAGCAGGAAGTAACTGTTTTATCTGAGTGAGAAATTATTCAAAAATTAGTATTTCAGCAGTGCAACCTCCCCAGATTTTGTGTGAACGTTTAGGCAGTTTTCCATCTCTCTGAGGCTGGTAAAATTAATGGGGCAGAGGCAGGCAAATGCAGTTCCTAACTGAGAGCGACAGAGGCAGTGCTGCGAGAGGCACAGGGCTACTGGGCTGTTCCAAACCAGTAACCTCTGTCCAGTCACGAACCTTTGGCAGAAAAGCTTCTAACAAAGTCTGATGATCTTTCTTCCTTCTCCAGGGAAACTACGCTTTCCTCTTCCCATTCAGACAATGGACTGCCAAGCGGCATGTTCAGCAGCCCGGGCTCCACTTTCATCCTGGACGAGCGCGTACAGCTAACTGTGGGCCTACAGACCCAAGAGAGACATCTGGTCTTGTTCAGTGATGTGCTGGTCATCGCTAAGTCCAAGTAAGAGGAGTTTGCACCTGCTTTGTTCTCCCCAGTATGTGCTGCTGAAGCTAGGCACTGAGCTATTTGTGGAGCAATCACATCAACTCTTCTTTAGAAATGTGCAGCTAAAATATGGCATCTCCACCTTCCTCCTCCAGAAATTCTTTTTAGTATTAATGTTGCACTCCATTTTCCTGAAGGAAAAGATTGTCTAATTGGTTTTGCCCTTTCCCTTATGTGGCTTCTTGAGGAAATAGCATGAGGACAAGAGGCAGTAAGGACAGAAAACTGCCTGCTGGTCTGGCTACTACTGCCACACATAAAAACATAAAAAGAGCTTAAGTGACTTCTCTGCTAACGTAGACAGTACTTAGCCTAAATCGCCCTTTACCTGCACGAGGCTGTAGTGAATCACATTAGCCTGAGCTGTGGCTGTCCCACCAACCCCAAAATCCACTTGCAAAGCTTTCTTGTAATGCCTCTACATGCCTAGGTGTTTAGTTAAGGGGGGTTGGGGGGCGTCTTGTTGCTGCCACTGCATCTGCATGACCAGAAGGTGGCATGACCAGAAGGTGGCATGACCAGAATCTAGGTGTTAGGATCTGGCCTAAAAAAATCCATAATTTGTCTTGCAGGTCCTCCTCCAGCCTGAAGCTAAAAAAGCAGGTGCATCTGAGTGAAGTGTGGACCGGTACCTCTCTCAGCGAAGTGACGGAGAAAAAGATGAGTCCTGAGAATTCATTTGTCATTGGCTGGCCTACCACCAACTATGTTGTCACCTTCAGGTATCTCAGCAGTCACCAGACCTGCCTCTGCAGCCTGGCAGCTGCCCAAGTCTCCCATGTGTCAGGCGAAACAATGACTGAGGCTTGTTTCAGTCTCTACTGCTCTGAGCTTTACTATAGCCCTTCTCCCCACTGAGAGGAGGACTTCCACGCACGTTAGGCAATGTGGTAAAACCTTAGATGTTGGGACACAGCCATCTTAGAAAGATATCTGCAGGATGGTCCCTGAGAGCCTTTTAGAGGGCCAGCCCTTGTAAGTGCTGTCACACCATGTCTGCTATAGCAAACCAGCTTGAGCTGTCGTATAACCTGCATTCTTCATTAGGGTTTGTGCTCTGATATGCCATTTGTGTCTTGGGGAGGAAATAGTAGGAGAAGGAAAATAGCAATTAAAGGGCCCACAAGATGAGTTAACTCCAATATCACGGAAAGATATTTGCCCCTTATCTGAACACTCGCCAGCCTGGGCAGGAAATGTAGTCCAGTGTGTTGCTGGGATTTTTTTGTTACTATTATTTTTGTTATTTATTAAAATAGGACAGAGGCAGGAAAGGACTGTGCTTTTGTCCCAGAGCTTTGCAGGAAGGAACTTTGTTACAGCTATATATAAATGACACTGGGTAGAGTTTCCAAAGGCTGTTACCTACTCAACACTTGTTTGATGATCTGCCTCCCTTTTTATCTTCAGCTCAGCTGACATGAAGGAGCGATGGCTGTCAGCATTACTATGGTAAGTAGCCCTCCTTTCGTCCCCCTGCTGGGTGGTTCCTCTGAGTCCTCAGAGACATTTGCCGTGCTAGGTGACAGACTGCCCTCGCATGTTTTCCATCTACTGTATGAGAAATCCATCTTTGAAGCCTGAATATAGAAGCCCTGGGTGAAAGCAAAACTGGTGTTAACAGTCCAGAAAAGATGAAATCCACTAGAAGACAGCATTGTTGGAGCAGCTCTTTCCTTTTGGAGCCAGACGTTGACTTTGCTAAGCACTATGGAAATGTCACAAGTGTTACTGATTCTTCAGATGCTTTATAAATAGAACTGGAGTTTGTATTTTGTGGCATCCAAAGGCTGCAGTTGTTTCATTTTCCATGTTATGTTTTGATTTTATGTTGTTTCCACTAACATCCAGGCAGAAGTGTTTATATAGGTACAGGGGCGGGGAAGAAGTCTCTTGATTTGTGGAGAACGGCAACGATCCCAAGGATGCCGGGAGGTGGTGTCCTAGACACATCTGTCTGCATTAAATGCTGCCATGTGGGCTTTTGCTAGGCTGGGCCTCAGGAGAGATAAAAAAGCCAGTAAAAGCATGTGACCACACTATGAACACTGCCTGTTATTGTTACTGTTGTAACTCATCTGTATTTATTACAGTGCCAAAGAGCAGGTGCCTTGGACCTCTTGGATCCAAATCTTAGGGTCCTTCTCAAGTTTGGTTGTGAAATTAAATTCCCTTCCCTTTTCATTGATTTTCAGGCATATCAATGAGGCAAAACAGAATGAATATCTGAAGAATCTAAGCCTTCAGATCTTTGTGGTGGATGGTGACAACTGTTCTTCTGTAAGTAAAGCCAAGAAGCTGCTCATCAGACCAACGCTACGTGGAGGTCTGTGGGGTAGGGGTGGGATAGCAGGACTGTGCTGCTGCTTCTACCCCTGTCCAAAATTCAAGTCCCAGCTGAAAAGATCCTAGAGGGTGTGCATCTGGGCAGCTGCATCCTTCCCACTGGAAGACCCCTGAGAGAGTTTTGGTCTAAGTCAAGAGACAGCCAGACCCTTACCAAACAGCACGTAATTCTTAAGCTTATTCTTGGCCCCTGGCTTCTTTTAGCTTTTCCTTTGGCTTCACTTCCTAATTGGTGATGGTTTGTGGTTGAGTGCCCAGTCATTCCTATTTTCAGTGCACTAAATTGAGGACATTAATCATGAGTCACTGGTGTCTTCTCCTGAATTAATTTACTGGAATGTGTCTCAGCCTCTTCATATTACTAGCATACGTTTCTAGGCTTCATGCCAAGCTTGGTGGGTCACATTTACCTCCTAGGGACTCTTCCCCCAGAGCGCAACCCCATAAACTCGTGGTTTATTAATGTTGTGCCACGTCACCCTTTGGAGGGACAGTGGCACTACTATCAGTCAAATACTGATGTGATCAAGTACAGCATGCAAATACCACCCATCTTGTGATTTCTACGGGGCAAAGTCTGTGGTACATTTGGTATAATAAACCCATGAGAGAAAAAATAGCAGAGAACAGTTTTCACAATATATAGCCATCACCCTTAACAATGATTCCAGCGTAGTTCTGATAGCCGTGAACATTTAGCAAAGAGGGTGAATATACTGGTAACTGACATTTTCTCCAGATTTTCAAGCTACAAGAAACTGCACCCAGACTTCATGCCTTCTTATTAGCTTCCTAATTTTCTCTGTTTTCCTCTCTAGACTACCACAGTCAATGTGTCCAATATGGAAACTGCAGAGAGTGTAATGAAGAAGACCCTTCTTCAGCTTGGACTTCCCGTAAGTGGCAGTTGCACATTCTGCCAGACCTTAGCGGAGGAAGCGGGCACTGTCTGGTTTGCAGGACGGTGCAGATGTGGAAAAGTCTAGATTTGCTGTAGCCCACCAGTGAGGAGTTAATATACTCTGGACTACAAGCAATCTGTTTGTGTGGGTGCTGAGTATTAGAAACACAGACCTGCTTACATGCCTACATTAAATTCAATCCTCATATAATGAAGTCCTTTGGATTTCAGAGGTCTCCAAGGCTTGCAATCCAGCATTTAGATTGAGCCAAGCTTGTCAAAGGATTATTAATATAGCTGTAAATTACTGAGCAAATCAGTGACATTATCAGATGAGCCTTGCCCATTACAGTGTTTAACAGGTAGTTTTGAGAGCGTCCCTGTGGTTTAATGCCAAGGGAGGATGCTCTCATGAGACCCCACCTGGAGTACCGTGTCCAGCTCTGGAACCCCCAACACAAGGAGGACGTGCAACATATTGCTAAAACAGGCCGGGAAGCCCTCGTGTGGGTTTGCATCCTGCTGGCTCTCAGTGTTTTCTTCTCCTGAACCTTTCCCCTTCCACTCCGTATGGGGAAGATGGATCTGGTGCGCGGTCCCCCCAGCTGTGTGGCTGTCCTGGAGACAACCGTGCTTCTCCGGCTCCTCCGTCTGTTCACCCTTCCTTGCTGAGTGGAGTGCAAGCTCAGGGAGCCTCTTACAATATTTTTCTTTTCTCTGTTCCTCAACTGCCAGGGCAGGACAAGTGAACACCACCTCTGGGTGATCTCAGGAAAAGATGACCCTGCTTACCCTCTCATTGGTAAGAGCTCTCCCCCCGTGCCTCAATTCTAGCACCACAGGAACAAGTGATAAATGATACTGGGGTGTGTGGCAGAGAAACATCTCAAACATTGCACTCTTCACTTAAACAAGCCATGGTAGGGGGACTGTCAGTGATGTGATTTCAAGATGATTTCAGAAATACGTGAAACATTTTTGAATAAGCCACTGAATTTTGTCGGTTAAGTTCTAAGCATTCATCATGGAGATGATTAAAGCTGAAATTTTCCAATAACAATAACAAAAATAATAGCAACAGCTTTTATTGGAGAGTTGTTGGCAAAAACGAGACAGCAAAATATAAGATTAAACATACAATCTGCCAGAAAGGAAGCACACTGATTTACCCAGCATCTAAACAGAAGCTGTTGGATGCATTTAAACTGATGCTTGCGGCTCCGAAAGATATATCAATGATGCAGCTAGTGCTCACACTGTTTTGCCCTGTAGTGTACTGCTTACTTATGCCAAACAAGTAATCTCTGCATTAACTCTGCATTAACTCTGTTTTTACTGGTAACCCAATAGACACATCCCCAGGCTCTCCAGGGAAGTTTATGCATCTTGGTTTATTAAAGAGATCTTGGTCCAAAGACCATGGTGTCATTGTAAGACTGTTATTCTGGGGCTCTTCAGACTGCACGTGTTTATTTATGGGTACTTAGTAGTGTTTTCCAAGTTGTCGTGGCACATGCTTATTTTTGCATTCATGCAGTACATACTAGACTGTCATAGTAAGCCAACGCCTGCACGGAGCAGTGCTTACAGTATTTTGGTAGTGCAGTGGGGCCCATGAGCATATTAATAAGGGCTCAAACCCAGTTCGTAGTGCTTTGTCGCACAAAGTTCTAGAGAGCTGCTAATGAAGAGTGCCTAACTGGGTTTGACTGGACGAACTTATTTATAAAGCAGTCATCATGAATCTGCATAGATGTGCCCTGGCTATTGTAGACCATAGGTGGAGGTTTTGAGCAACTTTGCTTAGAGTCACAGTGGGAGCCATTGGATGTGGCTGCGTCCTTGTGCCCGGATTTGGAGCTGTCCTCACGTAGCGCTGCATCTTTCCTTGCTCTTTACGCAACTCTTTGCTCAACAGGGCATGAACATCCTTTCAGCATCGCATTGAACTCTCTCCGGGACTCTGCTGACCACCAACAAGGAACTAACAACAACACCTTCCTGGCTGATGGGACAGAGGCTTCCTTCCTTGATCAGCTCCCAAAGGAAAAACAGTGTCAGTTTGTCCTGAAGCCCAGGCTCCAAGCTCCAGTGCAGCTGAGGAGAGGTAGGGCCTGTGGGAGTGCCTCGCAGCCAGGCAGACTTTGCTGCTGTCCACGGCAGTGCCAAACTCTTCCTAGCATCAAACAAGTATCCCGGAGCCACTCTGACACCTGCGTGGATGCAAAGAGGAAGAGGTTGCAGAGGGCCTAAATTCATCTGTGCAAATGTTTACAGTTAGCTTTCAGTCCTTAATTAGCTTTCAGTTGCAATCTGTTCTTACCTTTCACGGACAGCAAGGTTCTCTGAAGAACAGTGATCGAATAAGAGCTTTGCTGATGGTTGAGCAATGAACAAATGGTTTCACTGCTCCATATATCTGATCATCCCCATCGAGAGTATGGCTATGAAACATGTGATGGTGGAAAGTTCTTTCTTTGCTGGGACCTCTGCTCCCACCATAGAGCTGGTAATGAAGGTCTATGTTTCCTCTCAGGGTCACTGCAGAAACACACCAAGAGGAAGAAGTCTTTGATTGACTGGGCCCTGCGCCGCAGTGCCAGCACCCCCACAGGCAGCCCTCCTTCGCAGTCACCCACCACTCCACGGAAGCTCTTTGGCCTGTCTCTGTCCTCTGTCTGTCCTGATGGGATCCTTCCCAAGCCAATCATGGTAAGGAGCAGCCTGGACTGTTCGTCCTGATGTAAAATTGATGCATTTAGCACAGAATTTAAAGCCACTTCTGGTATTTGTGACAATTGGATAGGGAAGACGACCATCATTTGCTTGCGATTCAAATGTAGCTCGGTAACCAGGGTGAGAGTATCCCTCTCCTCTGTAATCCGTGTCATTTTGTGCACAGACGTCCATCCTGTTTCGATGGGTGTCTCCAAGCAGGTCAGCACAAGCTGACAAGAGGCAATGTCCATGGGCTGTGCCATGCTACATAGCCTAGACCTCCTTCACTGCAGGAGTCCACTGGACTCACACTTGCTGCAGGACAAGCATACCCACATGAACTGTACCTGCAACCCAGCTGGCAGACTTTTGTCGCTGGTTAGATCATGATAAATCTCTTGTGTGTCTGTCCTCTTCCCGGTACTTATGCTAATTATGTTATAATAGCTGAGGTATAATAAACACAAACAACAGGCTAAAGTGTTAGGCTCTTAAGTACAACTGGTCTTTCTCTTAGGACATGCTGCTCCTGTTGTACCACGAAGGCCCCTCTACTAGGGGCATTTTCAGACGTTCTGCCAATGCCAAGACTTGCAAGGAGCTGAAAGAGAAGCTGAACTCTGGAGATGATGTCCAGGTGGATGGAGAGTCAGTCTTTGTGGCTGCAGCTGTCATCACGGTATGTTTGGCCGTGTAAATCATCTGTCTGGGCTAGTGGTACCCTCCTTCTTTAAGGAATCAACTTGAGTCCTTATGGGTAGTGAAGATTGGGGCAGGGAACAGAAAGAATTTTCCAGCAAGGCAGGTTCTAACCTGATGGCTTGATCCATCTACATGCACAGAGGTGTCTGCCTGACATAGTGGTGCTTTTTTTTCACATGCCCCTGTTGCCCTCAGGCCAGTGTTCCATTCTTCACCTCCCTGTACAAAGCAGCCTCCAGCAGACAAAAAAATAAGGTCTCCCTCCACAGTGCCAGAAAGCATGCCAGAGTCTGGACTTAGCAATGCAGATGCTGCTCTGGTATAGGCATGAAGTCCTTTGGTGGCAGCAGCACAGGTGCTCTTTGTCCTTTCTGGCAGCACAGAAGAGACTGCCGGGACACATGGGAGGACTCGTGCATTTAAGTGCAACTGCTCTGCTTTCCACCAAATGGAAAGGCCGTGCCCAAAGGAGCTGGCCTGTACCCTAAAGCTTTCACCCTCTAATCGGCCAGCAAGCAAGGGAGAAAACAGCTGCCAAATCCAAGCAGAAGGGTTGTGGTGGGCAGGGGATGGAGCTTTTAAGATGACCCAAGTTTTAGTAAGGAAAAGCCTATATTTTGCACTGGCAATTAAATGTGGTCAGAACAATTCAGGTACCTAAAGTATCAAAAAAACAACCCTGTCTTTTGCTTCTATTGGCCTAATATAAAAAGCTGTTGACTGGGCAGATATTCAGGCACTTCCCAGTGCAAGACATCTCTAAGTTGTTAAACAGTCCCCTGAGAGAAAGACAGCAATCCTCATAGCTGAGAAAAGTTTCCAGAAGAACCATGCACAGCCTTGGGACTGACTCTGCTGCAGCAGAGACAGGTCCTGTCCGGAGGAGGGGCAAGGTCCCAGACCTGGCGCCCCCCCTGCCACCAGCAGCACAGTGCTGCAGTGCTGGACGAGCAGTCCTGAGGAGTACGACGTGGTGGAAGCGGGGAGGAGAAATGTGTGTGTGTTGTGTCTTGTTTTTTGTTGTGCATAATATGAATAAACAATGACTATATGCATAGTGAAGCCAAATCAAGGAATTCAAAACTGACCAGACTGCTCTGCATATATATATTTAATTCAGGATTTTCTCCGAAATATACCTGACAGTGTTCTATCCTCAGACATGCACGGACTGTGGATGGAAGCTGTGGACACGGAAAATTGGGCACATAAGATTGAAGTTATCAAAAGGTTTGTAAAAGCCTTTGTAAAAGCTTCTTTTGGTGGGAGGGGGAGCATACAGCCCTAAGAACAGATTTCATCTTCCTGGCAATGCTCCAGGCCACAGTAGAACTGTTGATGATTGCCAGTGTCATTGGTCAGAATATTTTCCTTTCAGTGGTCTTCTGTGAACATTGTTAACATTTCTGCCCCCTCAAAAAGTCCTTAGAAAATTCTTTTTTGATGACCAGTTCAAATTAACAAAACTCAAAAAAATCACAGTGATTCAGCCACCAGGAGTTCATCAATTGTGGGACTTTGAAAATGGTTTTACTGCCTTAAAACTGCTGCCCAGAGCAAGAACAGTCCGTCAGCATCCTGTGGGACATGCAGTATTTCAAACCTTTTCTTGTCAGTGGCCCAGCTGAGTTTTTGAACCTTGCAATTTGCCCTGGGCCTCCTTCCTCCATTGTCCTTAGAGCATGGGACACAGGCAATGGCATTGTCTCATGTGCTGCTGGCCTGGAGCTGTGTGGATCTCCTTTGGGCGATCATTGTTCATTAAGGCATTATAGATTTCTAGCCACATCTTCTGGAGGCATGTCCCTTGGTCCCTCCAGCTTGGTGACCAAAGCGGGTAGGCTGTATGGGTGTAAGGTTGTGGCTCTCACACGAGTTGGTGGAGGGGAGTGACACAGTCTTAGTTTATTATCAAATTTGATTGTCTCAAACTGTTTGCAAAAGGGTAGAAGGCAAAAGCTTTGGGAAATACCTTCTGATACTTGAAGAGCAGATTTTGGTAAGCAGGGCTGTTTTCTTTTGTTCCACTCCCTGAATAGTCTAGTCAACCAGCTTCCAGAGGCCAACCTCATCTTACTCAGACATCTCTTTGGAGTCCTCCATCATATTGAGCAGAATTCCGGCGTGAATCAGATGAATGCCTTTAACCTGGCTCTGTGCATAGCACCCAATATGCTGTGGCTACCAAGTCCCACTGGGCCTGAAGAGGAGAGCAGGTCTACAAAGAAGGTGATCTAACGTGAGCTTGACCTCATGTTCATCTTCCCCTTTTACTGCTTTTTATGGACACTGTATTTCACAGCCTAAAGGAAGGCATAGGGTCAGAGACAGTGCTGGCTGGAGGCTTCATCCTTCCCCTGTACAGCTGTGCCCATGCTGGTAGGGGCATTTAGCCACTTGGTTTAGCCAGGGTGGAAAGGGAAGCTGTGGATGTTTTACCAGATGAGTGTCCTACATGGTCAAGCAAGCGCAAGAAAGTTGGAGCAACTGAAGTTACACACTGCCACTTCAGCTGGGTCTGAGGCCAAGTCGGCACGGAACATGATGGTGCATTAGAAGGGAGAAATCCCTGCTTCTAGCTTACGAGCTGTTACCTGTAGTATGGAAAATTGTAGAACATGCTGTACCCAGCTCATTGTACCAGTTCATGTAGCTCATACTCTTGCCCCAGCTGTAGTTCCTGCAGAGGCATTGCCACATTCTTAGTAGCTTATTGAGCGAAAGGTTTTGTGGGAAATTATGTCTTTGTCAAAGAAGTAGGGACATTCTGGGACTGATCTGCATACAGCTGGCTATATATTTGTGAAACTGACTCTAAATTTGTGTCTTTGCCAGGTGGCTTTGTTAGTGCAGTTCCTGATTGAAAACTCAGGAGAGATTTTTGGAGGTGACATTGCTTCCTTGTTTCAAAGACCAGATAAAAAAAAGTCCAAAACCTCAAAGGAATCCCTGGGTAAGTTGTGGTACCTGTATCTTCCAGAAACGTTTAAATCCCTTTGTGTCTCTTTCAAGGAAAGGTATTGAAAAGCTTCACCTTCAGTTTTCCCTTTGCCTGTCAGGTATAGGCAAGACATGAGGGCAAAGCGGAGGGCTGAGGTGTGTCACTTCAGATGTGTCCCTGAGGATGGCTGCCTTTCTCTGCGGCTGCCATTCAACCTATTCCAGCCATCACAAGAATTTAGTGTGGCTTAGCAGTGCTAAGTCCTTCCAGTCTTTTCTTCCAGTTTAGTTCTGCAACCAAATAATTGAATGGAGAGAGACTGAGTTGCTGCTGTTAACTATTCTGTGAACACAGGCCAGTGGCAAAAGCTCAGGTCATCAAGCCAGAATTGTTTTATATTGGTCCTAATCCTGCTCTGGTCTCTCTGAAAACAGTGGCTCATCTTTGCTTTTCAGTGGACTTGTTAATATTTCCCTGTCTTGATTGTAAGGTACTGTATGGGGTTAGAAAACACAGGTAACAGAATAATTTGTGTCCTCTGCCCCAGGCATAGGTGTGGTGCAGCACAATGATTCCTCTGATGAGCTGGAATTTTCTACTTGTGACCCAGAAGGACCAAAGCACCACCTGGCACCTGAAACAGATGCCATTTTTGAACCACCCAGCAGCTTGTTACTCGATGAGGAACAAGAAGACTGGGACCTGTTCAGTGAGATTACAGCCTGCTACCAAAGCAAAGCCCAGAAGAACGCCAGTGCAGACAGCTACGACCTCCTGGAAGAGGAGGGTTCCTTCTGCTCCATCGGCTCGATACGCTCTCTCAGCCCAGCCAGGGACCGGTGCTCGTCAGAGCCCAGTGTCTGCCTCAGCTCCCAGCTGCCTGCCCAGGAGCACGAGCCGGTGGCCCGCCAATCCAGCTGTGATGCCACCATCATGGGCAGCCACACAGACTATATTCACAGGCTCAAGCAGCTGCAGGTGGAGAGCCAGAGGTTAATAGATGAAGGCCTAAGCCCTGGGGTTAATAAGGCCAGGCAGAACTTCTGGCAGTCGCCTCAGACCAGTTGTAGGGTGAAGAAGCTCAGCCTTCAGAAATCCAGCCTGTCCAACAGGTCCAGCTTCTCTAGCCTGTCCTCTACCACCACCTCCCCATCTGCCTCCTCACTCAGCTCCTTAGACAGTGCTTTCTCCTACTGCTCAGAGTCATCAGCCATCAGTCCCACAGACGTCTCATCCCTGCCATTCATGTTTGGCACATCTGCAAGGCTTCATGCTGCATCCCCCAAGATTGCCAAGAGGTCCCCAAAAGAGTGGCACAAGCCCTTCACATCTCCTGTGCCTTTACACACGGGCGACCTGGACAGTTTCCATGAGGATGAACCCAAGGCTGGAGAGAGCAGTCATTGCTTTGGAGAGAGGAGAAGTTCTCCCTCTGTCAGTGGAACTGCCTTGGGAAGCCCGCTAGCTGGCATTGACTGGGAAGAAGAGGAGAGACAGATGACTTGTGCAGGGGGCCCTGGCCCGGGGCTCAGAAGCCAGGATTGCACCAAAGAGTTTGAACAAAACACTGGGCTCCCAGCTGCCAGCTCACCCGCTGAGAAACCCCCACACATCAGCCACCAGCAGCACAGGGAGAAGGCAATGAAGAACTTAGAAATCAAAAGCATGGATGCCTGCCCTCCAAGCCAGGAAAGCCTGAAGCGCACCAAGATAACATTTTACGTGGCCCCTAATAGAGAAAGCTCTTGGAGGTCTCCAGTGGAAGAGGAAGAGGAGAGATCCATGGCAGGCACCAGCAGCAGTGACCCCCCCAGCAGCAGCAGTGAGCAAAGCTTGTCCAAGAGCTTGCAGACTGTGAGAGTCCATATCCCCCAGACAGTGTTCTATGGTCAGAATACCCCCCTTGTCCTGCAGTCCACCTCCAGGCACGGCTGCCATGAGCCGACAGCCCCATCCCTGCAGGCAGAGCACAGCGAGAGCCCCCAAAGCGCCTCCACTCCTGAGGAGCTGGAGAGTGCGGCGGTGGGAATGGCGCCTGCGCAGACTCAGAGCAAGGGCTTCAACCTGTTCAGCCACACTGTCTGCATCACCCTCCCCACCTCTGTCCGAAACACCGTCAGGGAGTACTTCACATGCGATGACACCAAGACCTGTCCTGCAGCTGAGGTGGAAGCGGTGGAGGATGAACTCCTTCGGAGCAGAGTGGCATGGCTCAGGAGCCAGCCACTGGCAGAGGTGGCCACAGAGGAGCGTGAGACAGTGACGTTTGCAGAAGAGACATTTGTCTAGGGAGGTGGAAGAACTGAACATTTTTATGTGTATGTGCAGCAGAAAATATTCTGTAAGATATGAGCAGGGTGTGAAGAGTCTAGCAGGCTGCATAGGGCAATAAGTGTAAAGTGACACTAATGTGTATGTATTGTTGGAGCTCAACATTCACTTTGGATGAGGCGGGGGAGGGGGAGGGATTGTTGTTTTTCTTTACGCCCTTTTTCTACACAAGAAACTTCACTGGCTGGGTGTCTAGTGGGCTGGCTGCCACCAGACTCACCTTGTCTGTGAATTAGTTGCCCTGTACAGGGTCTGATTCGGTTTCTTTTTAAAGCAGGGAAGAAGAAACTCCACTTTATTTTTGCCAGTCAGCTGCTTATGTCTGTGGCTGACCAGAGAACTGGGAAGGCTCATGCTCCATCAGAATCAGTTAAAAATCTTTACACTTGCACAAAATCCTCCACTGTTCACTGTTTGTCATCACCATTCATCCAGAGAAAGACCCTTCACCTCCATCCCAGAAATCACTGCTGCTTCTTTTTGCTCATCTGTTGTCCCTGGTGATCCAGCTCATAGTCTGCGTTCATTATTGTTGGAGGCTGGGCTCCAGAAACACCAGATAGAGCCCAGAGCCCAAAGCCCAGCTTTCACTGACAGACGCCATATGTAACATTTTAACCCCAAGATTGCTTTTTTCCCTTAATTAATTGTGTCTTTGCATACCTCCCACAAAGCTAGCATGTGACAGAGCCACAGTTACATTAACGGATTTTAGCACTGTCACTTTGGCAGGGCTATGAACATTTGTCTTCTTTGGTGTCCTCTGGGAGTAGCTTGGCCCTTCAGTCTTAGTAAAATGTGATGTTCTGTTTCTGTAAGTGGTGGTGACCTTTCAGAAGGTCCTTTCCAAAGGCATTGTGGATGGGCCAACTAATCAAATTCTGAGTCATGCTGAGCGGGACTTAAGCAGGATTTGGCTTTAGCATGAGGTCAGGGAGTTGTGGAAGTTGTCAAGACTGTTGTCGAGTAGATGCGGAAGCAAAGCCCCATCTGGTCAGAAAGTTGTCAGGACAGTCCACAAGCTGACACTGTGCAGGCTCTAGCAGCACTGAAGCAGTCCCAGAGGAGCATCGGGTTCCCAGACAGCATAGTACACGGTCCAGTGTGCTCCAGCAGAGCTAAGTCTGGAGAAGTACCGGACAGCAATGTGCTAAGCACGCTGCTTGGGTTGCACCACTGAAGAAATGCAGCCTGTGGTTTCTTGGAGCATCCCTGTGATTCCGCTCCAAGCAATGCTCAGAAGCACCATAGCCATAATGGGACTTGCTTAGAGGCATGTGGTGCTGCCAGCTGAGCTCTAAAAAGAAGCTGAGAGCATCACATTAGTTTGACAGGTGTTAAGAAGACTGTGAGAAAAGTCTTGAAGTTTAAAACGGTTCAGGATGTTTCATCTGAAAGCCATGTGAGAGTTTTCTGAGGTGGTTTCACAGAGACGGTCCTTTTACTCAATTTACTATGAGTGGGTGAAGGACAAAGGAAGCACATGAATCCTAACAATTGGAAGGCAGTTCTTGTGGAGTTAGTGCCCCCTGCAAGTGGCTGAGTGTCTGCAAATAGGCAGAGCTGGAGTTGCATCCGTGGTTCAGTCCTTGCAGAGACAGAAGCCACCTCTCTGCAGGGATCCAGTAGGTGTCAGCTGCCTGCACTCATCGGCAGGTGCCAGTGACGGTCAGTGCCAGGAAGCCAGCCCAGCACTCCAGATTCACACCACTGAATACCAGGGGAGAGAGGGGGAAGCCCAGGGCCCACTCGCCGAGGTGTGTAGAGTTTAATTTGTTGTGTGCATGGTGTTTAACTGCCAGATCTGTCCCAGATCAACTCGTATGATGAAAGGTGTATATAATTGTAATATAGCTCCCTCGGCCATCGTTTTCCTCACACAGGAACACTGAGAAGGCATTCACAGTCATTTTTTCTAGAGCTACGGTTCTAACTATTTCAATAAAAGACACGCAGGTTGGTTTGTCCCTGTGGTGCAGCAATCACCTTTTGTTCCCTTGCTCTTCCCTCACTTCTGTGCTTGGGTGGTGGGGTTTGCAGAACACTGAGCTGTGCTGTGAAACACATGTGCTTCCCACTCCAGCGCTGTGAGGCTGACCATGCCTACGAGGAGGTCTCCTCCAGCAAACCAGCTCAGGCAGCACTCTTTCTGTATCCTTTCAGGAAGGTGGAACAACACTAAATATTGGGAGAAAAGTCTGTCTGTACTGGGAAGAGCAACTATTCTTTATTCTAAACATTAGGGGATTGTGAACTGGTTCAGTGGCAGGGCTGCTCTCAGTTTAAGCAAGGGGGACCTTGGCCAAATGCAGAGTATGGGCTCACAATTTGCGTCACCTGGAAGAATTGCAAGCAAGTTAGAGTGATACTAGTTTCCAGAAACGTCGGGAGAGGCAGGGCAAAACACGTTTTCCTCTTGCCATCTTAGGGTGCCTAATACGGGCACATTTCCCTGGATAATTGCTCTAACCCAGCTCTCTACAAAGAATTTTTTAATTTTTTTTAAAACAAAGGCCAACCAAATCCTCCAAAATTTATCAGAAAGGTAGCACAAACCATGGTCCCTTTAGGAGCACATGGCTGCACAGCTAAGACAGCATGCCACACAAGACAGAGGGAGACTTGGCCACTGCAAGGGCACAGAGACCTTGCCTTCCCCGAGACGTGGATATCTGCAGCCCAGGCAATAATGCAATTCCAAGAGTCCAGGTTGCTGGAGACCAGGATGCTCCCCACATTTTGGTACCCAGTTCTGCCCCCACTAAGTTAGCAGAAGCGTTCCATGTTCTTCCAGGCCATCAAGACACATATCGCAGATTAGTCATAGATTTCCTAGGGACAGCAGACCTGGAAACCTGTGGGTTTTGCGCCATCTCTAAACCCTCCAGATCTGGGCCACAGTCCCCAGACTAAAAGGTCCTGGAGCTCCTGTCTTCTGCTGAAGAGCAATGCCAAACTACTGCTTTTAATCCCAGGAAACTCAAGGCCCTGAGTGCAAACTGCCCAAAATGCAAATTCCAACCGAGTTCTCATGAGAGCACCCAGATCTGCTGCCAGCCCCGGGGCAGGGGACACCCCGTGGTGTCTTGGAGGGGGGGGGAGCCAGAGGTGGGGAGCCAATGCCGACTGCGGAGGCATGCAGGGTGCCTGGGGCGAGGGATGGGGGGGACACGGAGACACCTTGCCACCCCGCCCGGACACTCCTGGTCAGCACCTCAGGAACCCCCTGGAAACCCCCTAGAGACCCCCAGGGCCCTCCCCGGTCAGACTTCGGACACCCCTGGGCCCCCTCGGACACCCTCCAGACGCCCCTGGAACCCATCTGACACCCCATGGACACATCCCTGGACCCCGTGCAAAAATCATAAACATCTTTTACAGGGCTGGGCTGCCACCTTGCCTAAGAACAGTAACTTGTTATTTTAAATCACTCGCTAAACATAGCCTGGGTTTTAACCAAATTCATAGGAAAGGTTTCTGTGCAGAATTCTGTTTGGAAAACTCACAGATCATGGATTGTCTACAGCGTTTAGATGGCAAGTTTGACATACTCACTTAAGCACAAGGGGAAAATCCATTCAAGTAAACTGGGGCAACAGGATATACTAACTAAATTTCCAAACTCATTCTATTCCAAGCAGGCTCGTGTTACCAGAAAAGTGCGTTTCATAGGTCTAAAGCTTGATAATTAGAATTTTATTTGTGGTAGTACAACAATGTGAAAATTTAGTATTTGGAGAAAGGAGCAGATCATGGCACGTAACAAGTCTGTGACATGCAACATCTCAGATTCATAGACAGTGATAGGAAATGTCAGCATTCAAATGGTTATCAGTATGTTCTTGCCAGCCAAGCTGCCTATGTCTTCAGGCCAATCAGCACACCATCTTGCCAGCTCTTCTTAAGTTTCCCAAATTGGGGAAAAGTCTGCTCCAGGGTTAAAGAGCCAAGCCTTGCAAAATTCCCAGCAGTTACTCAGAATAGCAGAATTCCGTAATTTTCGAAGGAGAGGGTGAGTCACATGCAGAACAGAGGTTTCCTGGCACCCATCCAGGGAAATGTAAAGCCATACACTTCGGTCTGGTTGTGTTCATCAGAGAACTTAAACATTCAACCTTTAACATGTACCAAAGACCCTCGCATTAAGCTCTGTTTAAACAAGAGATGTGCCAAACCCACATTTATACTGAATCAGATCTCTGTCATCTACTGCAGCCAGTCACAAAAAGCAACAGTGTTAAGCAAAAGCAAGTGCCATGCCACACCTAAAACGGGGATGTGAGTTGTACAGGAGTCGTTTCCAGTCAGTGTTTGCTTTGCTTTCCAACTTCCAGCTGCCTCCTGATGTCGGATACATCCATGGGGACCCGCACTGTCAGACCATTCATTGATTTCTTAATGCACACCTGGCAGCCAAGGCGAGATCTGAGAAGAAAGCATGAAGTGAGGTTTGTCTGTTCCCACAGTAAAGGAAGAAACTCCCCACCCACACTAGCATGTCTGGCCCAGGCTGGGTTTTTGCTGAAGTTCCCGTTAAAGGCCTTCCATGCCCCAAGAGAAATCAGTTCTAGAGGCACAACCATAACACAGAATAATCCTGTCCCCTTGGAAATGGGCACCAGGTGCTGGGAATCTGCTTCAGAGGCTCGAGAATCTACTGTGACCACTAGGGAGACTTACGTCTCGGTGAGTCCATACGCCAAGTCCAGCATGTCCAGCTCTTCATCTGAGATGGCATCCAGCTTTTGGAAGGCATCCTTCTCAAAGATGAGGTGACAGGTGGAGCAGGCTAATGTTCCTTCACATGCACCTGGTGGAGAAACAAGGGGATGACAGCAAATCAGAAAAAACTGAGGAGGTGAGAGAGATCATCTTGAGGAACAGTGTGAGAAAAGGTCCTGTGACAGATCTGGAATATGTCAAAAGACATGCCAGAAAACACAACGGATGTCTGCAGA